CAAGAAGATGCTGGAGAAAGATGAGAAAGGCGATCTAGGCGAGTGGATGAGAGAGGTGGAAAGAGAGCTGTTTCGAGTCAAAGCATTTGCTGCGAACATAGGAAAAGAGAGAGAAAGGGAGAGGAATATCGTCGAGGGAAGGCTGCAGAGATAAGAGAAAAAGAGAGACGGATGTAATGGAAATAAACAAGATGGAAGAGAAATTCTGGGAGACCTGGGCATGGTATGTGGAGAAAGATATCAAGGAGATAGTGAAGAAGCAAGAAGCAAGAAGTGCAAAAGGAAAGCTCGAAGGTATAACTGGGAGACAAACGGAAGAGGCTCGCCCAAGGAGAGAGGAGCCGGGAAAGCAAGGAGCGAGAAGAGAGGACAGAAAGGAGGGCAGTGGAAACAGGCTGAACAGGACAATATAAGGCCAGTGATGAGGGGTGTCCTTAAGGAAGCAGAGACATACACGACAGAGGAGAGTGGAAGTGAAGTCTGAAGTGGTAGGAAGTGGCTAAGGGCGTGAGGAAAAAGTGGTAGTCAGTGGTGATTAAGTCAGTGGTCAGTCATGCAGATGCTAGTAAAAAAGTGTTAACAGAATTTAGTTAGGATATAATGGACTGAGAGAAAAATTTTAATCATTTTAATAAGTGCCTAAATACGTGCTACATAAGTTTGGAATTTTTGTGATAATTACCAGTAAATTAGTTGTAAGTTTTGAATTATTTAATTTTTAACATTTTAAGTATTTGGAATCTTTACAATTTTCTGAATTTCTGAATTTTTGAAATTTCTTTTAATTTTGTTTGTGAATTTTAATTTTGGAACATCTGAGTTTTTGTATCGGTGTTAAGACGACATTTGAGTAAAGTAAAGTGAGAATAGATAAAGTAAAGTAAAATAAAGTAAAGTAAAGTATAAGTAAAGTATAAGTATAAGTATAAGTATAGGTAGAGAGAACAATTTGTGATTAGTGACAGTCAAATAATAGGTTAAGGTTAGACATGGTCTACGAAACCAAAAATTAAAGTAAAAATAAAATAACTCAATGATACTACCCTTAGTGGGGTATGTAAGTAAAATAAATAAATAAATAATACTAGTGAAGCTTACGTCCCCCTGCGCGCTTCGCGCGCCAACGCCAAAATTTTTAAATATCAGTTATATTTTTAATTTTTCTAGTTTCCCTTTTAGTTTACAAAGTAGAATGTATTCAAATTCTTATAATAGAACATACTTTTTTTTATGAAAAAAGAAATATTATAAAGACACTTAAAATTGGCATGGTTTTTACAATTATTAAAAATGGATATTAATGTCATAAATATCATAGGAGATGGATAATGTTTATTTAGATTTCTTGAGGTTTAGTGCATAAGCACACGATCAGTAAGAGCTAATTTAGGAGTGAGAATAAAAACTCCAAAGTCAGGTGTTAGTTTGAGCAACATTTCGTTGGTCTTAACGCCAACCTCATCAGGCTCACTTTATTAACAGAAAAAACACAACAAATTTCATAAATTACATTGCAGGGCCAATGTTTACAAATATCTACATTAATGCAAAATTAATTATAAGTAAGTAGTCACGAATAAAATAGTAATATAAATATTTTTAAAATTGAACAATTACTCACGTCTGTATCGTTAAGACGATCGTTACAGACTGTTGGGCGCCTCGAACGAATAACGTAAGTGTCAAACATGTATGTATTTACGCATATACATATAAACAGTAAATGTACGCTTCTTACGAATATAGATAACAGCAGTACATAACTACATTGTATTGTTTAGAAAGATTGCTTATAAAATCTTTATATGTGTTATTGAGAAGTAAGGTATCCTCTTTCTTATAAATTGTGTGTTTAGTAAAGTGTATGTATAGCATTTCAGATATTAATTTTTTTTGTCTATTAGGTTCACGGTCTAGAACCTTTGTTTGACAAAAATTAAAATTATGGTTGAATTTTTTTATGTGTGAAGCGACAACAAGTTCATCTTTCTTGGTACTTTTATGTTCATTTAGGCGTTTTTTTAATGCTCTCTTTGTTTTACCTACATATGATGCAGAGCAAGAATCACATGCAAAATGATACACAACATTGGTTTCATCGAGCTTATCAATCTTGTCTTTCCCAAGAATGATAACACTGTCAAATTTATTTTGAATAATAAGGTAGATTTGTGTGTATAATTTTTTCAAAATTTTAGAACAAAATTTAAAGAATAATGTATAGACAAATACATCGTTTTTTCTTCGTTCAATCTCAACATCTGCGAGCGAGATTAGTAACACAGCGCAGGTATTTTGTAAATTTACTAAGAAGAGATAAAAGGTGTGTGTTTTGCGAGCGGCCAGGCAACTATATTATTATTCGAGGCCTTTCGAAAGGTAAAACAAATAAAGTCAATTTCGTTTCATGAGTTAAGAAAATTGTTCTTGGAGTTTATTTTGTTTTCCTTTCCTTTACTATCAACCATGGCAAAATTTGTGACAGTTGCTCCGCGTATGATAGTCAATAATTCGATTGACTTAAAGCGTCAACATTTTTGGTAGCAGAGCGTGGTTGATAGTGAGAGGAAACGTTTTTTCTTCGTATCGTTGTGTCGGTGCATTTACTGTGGGTTGTAACAAAAAAAATGTACTCGCAGCGCAGTTGTTTTCAACTCGGATTCATTGGGAACTTGGCCCCTTTCCGTCTTTCTGGGATGTGATTTCGACTGGTTGAGCACCGTTGCTGCTTTGATTGGATACTCGCAGCGAAGTCGCATTGCTGCATGACGATAGAGGACGGCAAGCATTAACAACTTCGAGGTCACGATTGTTTACCTTCGGCGATGATTCCTGATGTACGTGCTACACATGGAGCACGGAGAGGTCACCGTCGCTGCTTGAGATACCTGCTCGCTGTATACCGATAAGTAGACGCTTGGCTCTGGCCGAACAAGCCGAACTTTTGTGTTGTTGTTGCGGTTTTAATACAAAACTCGCTTTTGGAACCTTGTAAGCATATTCGTAGGAATTTTAACTTTGATTTTAAAAATTTGTTTTAGATGCTCAATGAGAAGATTGGAACTTTTATACTTTGTTATTGTTAATTTTACTGTGAAGGTTTTTTGTTATCGTTAATTGTTGTAAGGAAAGTATAGCGAATTTTTGTTTCTTGTTGAGAATAAATCGAGATTGGCACGATGGCACAGACTGCTGTTTCGAAGCAGGTGCGACGCGCACAGTTATTTATTAATTTCGCACAAAATACTTTTGAGAAAGCCGGTCCGACTAAACAGATTATAGAGCAATATGAGTTGCGTGCGCCCTTGTTGGAGCAATATTGGTCAACGTTTGTAACTGAGCATTATGCACTTATGGAGTATGAGGATCAATTAATTGATCATGATTCTTTTCGTCAGGACGGTTATGCGCGGACGCAAACTGCATATCTTGATGCTCGTTCGTTGTTGGCGGCAAAAATTCGTGCACTTAATAATGCGAAGTCAATGCCTCCGGGTCATTTGGGCCTTAATATTGAGCCTGGTCTAGTAACGACGTCCGCTTCAACCTTGCCTTCGCTTTCGCTTCCCATGTTCTCCGGTCGACAGGAGGACTGGGAGAGTTTTAAACAACGCTTCGAAGCCGTAATGCAGTCGCAGACAAACATGTCGGGAGTTACTGGGTTGCAGCATCTTTTGAATTCGGTGCAGGGTGCTGCTGCTAGTAGATTAAAAGGGCTCGCAGTTATTGAGATGAATTACTCTGTGGCTTGGGAGCGTTTGCTTCGGCGCTGTGATAATCGTCGTTTACGCCTTGCGACTCATTTGGAAAATCTTATTCAGTTGCCCACGGTTCGAGCACGGCGAGTGGATGATCTTTCGGCTATTATTGATTGCGCAGAAGAAACCATGCAGGCACTCGTCGATCTTAATTGGCCTATAGAGCAGTGTAATCATTTTGTTGTTCACTGCATCGTGCGTAAACTTGACTCGGGCACGAGAGAGTCTTGGAATGTTTCACAAGAAGGCAAGGACACATTCGATCAGTATAAGGAATTAATTGCCTTTATAGAGCGTCGAGCCCGATCTGTGGACCAGTCTCGCTCTGATTCAAGAAGTGAATCATTTTCTCGGGCCGAATCATGCGGTAAATCGGGTGGTGCGATGAGGAATCAGTCTTGTGCTGTCGTGGCCAACGTGGCGAATGAGAATTCTAGAGAGGCTTGCGTATTTTGTCAGGGCATGTATTATGTATATTTGTGCGAAAAGTTTCGATCGTTGGATGCTTATGCGCGGTTCAAATTTTGTAAAAAAGAAAGTTTATGTTTAAATTGCCTGGGGAGGGGACACCGTCTCGCTGATTGTTCCTCGAAACGCTGTTGTAGTCATTGTCGGAAGCGTCATCATTCATTGTTGCATTTGCAGCCTGCTGGGGGCCCAGGGCCGGCTGCTTCGCAGACAGGAGCACATCAGGCTCAGACAGTTCATTCCGATTCTTCGAATGGTAGTAAGGAGATCACTGCTGGTGGATCGACACTCGCTTTTGCGGCTTCAATTGATGGTCGAGTTCTACTTGCTACAGCAAATATTATTTTGAAAAATCCGAAAGGTGGATCTCGTGTTATTCGTGCGCTTATAGATCCGGGTGCTGAACGGTCTTTTCTGTCAGAGAACGTAGCCTCTTGCTTGTTATTACCTCGGAATGGGGTTTCGGTATCGATTTCAGGCGTTGGATCAACGGTTTGTGCTAGGGCGTCGCACGAGGTCACTGCTCTGATCGGCTCCAGTGTGGATAGAGAATTCGTGAGTTCGCATGGATTTTTGGTTCTTGGTGAGTTATCTCGAGTTATTCCTTGTAGAGTGACGGAGATTCCGGACAATCGGTATTTGAGTGGAATTCAGCTTGCTGACGAGCAATATAGTTCACCCGGTCGCGTAGATGCTATTCTTGGTGCTGACATTTATGCCGATATATTGAGAGAGGGCATACGACGTGGCCCGATCGGGGCACCGGTAGCTCAACTGACGGTGTTTGGTTGGATCCTCACTGGACCTGTTGATATTAATTCGGAGAGTCATTCGACTGTGCACGCTCATCCCATTCGTGTTGATGAGAGTTTAGATACGTTAATCGTTAAATTTTGGGAGATCGAAGAGGTGCCCGACACTAAAGTTTTGTCAAGGGATGATGAATATTGTAACGAGTTCTTTCAGCGGACCACCAAACGTGATCAGTCGGGTCGATTCATAGTTCGACTTCCGTTTCGCTCCAATGCTTTGTTGAGAGATTCAAAGGAGATAGCTTTAGCGTGTTTGCTTCGTTCGGAGAAACGTCGGCAGGGATCTTTCGAATTACAAAAGGCTTATGATAGTTTCATGCGCGAGTACCAAGAGTTGGATCACATGAGGAGCGCATCGCAGTCGGAAAGGAGCGCGGCTTTGTGTTAATTACCTCACCATGCAGTTCTTAAAAATGATGGTTCAAAGAAATTACGCGTAGTGTTCAATGCGTCGCAAAAGTGTTCTAACGGTTTATCGCTTAATAGTCTTCTACATTCCGGACCAAAATTGCAGGTGGAGATAGCGGCATTGATTACTCGTTGGCGTTTTTTTAGGTTTGTGTTTACCGCAGACATAGTAAAAATGTTTCGTCAAATTCTCGTACATCCTGAGGATCGGAGATGGCAGAATATCCTTTGGCGTTCCAACAGGTCCGAATCCATACAAGAGTGTCGATTGTCGACGGTGACTTATGGTACTTCTCCTGCTCCATTTTTAGCGATTCGTACCTTGTTGCAGTTGGCTGAGGAGGGTAAATCAACGCATCCTGAGGCGGCTGCTATTCTTCGGTCACAGGTGTATGTGGATGATATTTTTGCGGGTGCTGATACTTTGGGGGAGGCAACTCTTCGGCGTGATCAGTTGGTTTCGTTGTTGGCTGGTGCTGGTATGCAGCTCGGTAAATGGGCGTCGAATACAGTTGAATTATTGGAAGGAATCGAGGGCTTGTCAGAAGGGAAGGTTTCTGTAGATATCGATGAGATTGTTTCAGCTTTAGGATTGAAGTGGAGTCCAAATGAAGATGAATTACGTTTTAAGATTGATCTTCCTACACTTTCTGTTAAGATCACGAAAAGGCTTGTTTTATCGGAGACTGCACGTTTATTCGATCCTCTTGGTTTCTTAGCTCCTATAATTGTCGTGCCAAAAATATTAATGCAAGATATGTGGATTGAAAAATCAGATTGGGATGTAGCTCTTCTAGCTGACTTAGAGAGGCGTTGGTTGGCATTTCGTGATTCATTGAATCAGTTAAGTGAGATTAGGATTGTTCGTGCAGTGGGAGTCATATCGACTAAAAACTGGAGTCTCCATGGGTTTTGCGATGCCTCTAAAAGGGCATACGCTGCCGCAGTTTATTGTGTAACTTCTGATGGAAAATCTACTTTGTTGATGGCTAAGTCCAAGGTGGCTCCAGTTAAGACTCAGTCGCTTTCGCGGTTGGAGCTCTGTGGGGCTGTTCTCCTTGCTCGTTTGACAGATTTTATTATTGGGCAGCTTAAAACGAAGCCAAAAAGTATTTCTTTTTGGAGCGACTCCCAGGTTGTGTTGGACTGGTTGAAGAGTCATCCGTCGCGCTGGCCTGTTTTTGTTGCCAATCGTGTTAGTAAGGTATTAGCTCGTTTTCCTCGTGTCACATGGAGTCACGTGAGGTCTGCCGATAATCCTGCGGATATTGCTACTCGAGGAGTTACACCATCGCGACTAGCTCTCAGTGAATTATGGTGGCATGGGCCTGCGTGGCAGGGTGATGAGATTCCTCCATCTCTGTCGGTGGCATCCATAGAGGGTTCCCAGGCCGTGGCATCTCTTGTGGCTAACGAAGTAGAGGAGAGTTCGGGTAAAGTAGAATCTGAAGCACTTACTCGGTTGAGGCAAATATCAAAGTATTCTAAGATTTTGAGAGTGCTAGTGGTTATATTTCGGTGGCGACTTGGACTGCGAGTATCGAGTGCAAATGTGAGTTCCGTTGCTTCGCGAACTTGGGCTTGGCGGGCGGCACGTATATCCTTTTATAGACTTATACAGAGCCATCATTTTGCTCGTGAGATTGACCATTTGCAGAGAAAGCGCTCGATACCAATGATCTCGCGTTTGTTGCACTTGGCGCCCTTTATTGATAAAGACGAAGTGCTGAGGGTTGGTGGAAGGCTTCAAAATTCTGTATTGACTTTTAAAGAAAAACATCCTGTTATATTGCCGGCTGATGAGCCGTTGGTTCGACGCTTAGTTGAGTATTCTCATTCTATTACCATGCACGGTGGAGTTGCGCTCATGCGAAGTTATCTAGATCGTTTTTGTTGGATTGTCCATGGTAACAAGCTGATTAGGAGTGTTTATAGGAAGTGTGTGATTTGTACGCGTCATGCTGGTAAGGTAGTTAAACAAAAAATTGGTTGATGAGAGTGGTAAGAGTCAAGACGGCGGCTTCAGAATTCAAGCGACCAGTCATTAAATTGATAAAGTTGCCGGTTGATCAGGAATTAGGGGTCGCGATTGCTCAAATAAATGGGAGTAAGTTGCTAGAGCAAGGCGGGCGGTAGTCAGTTGTGTTGGTTAACTCTCCAGGCAATGCGTAAAAAAAAAAAAAATGTATTTGCTAGGAAATCCTGCGTCAATTTTAATTAACTATTGCGAATTATGAAGCGAAAATTTTAATTGTATTAAATTTGTTGTAAGATCTTTTGAAAACACACTCTTTAGTATTTATTTTTTGTAGTGATAAATTTATCTATTTTTTTATTTTTATTATTTGGTTAAGATGTGGAGTGTGAGTTCAAAGGATCGTTGAAGAGATTTGTTCAAATTTCAAGAATTTTTAAATCAAGTTGAGCATTGTTATAAAGACTTTGGCTGAATTTTAATTTTGTTTTAGAATTAGTAGAAAACCAATTTGATTGTTGCTTGGGCGCAACAAGGCGGGCGGTACGTTCGGATGTATGAGAAAGAGAGAGAGAGATGTAAGAGTAGAAAGTAAATTTGTAATTTGAGTAGTAGGTATGCTCTCTCCGTGTGAGTCTGTGTGTTGTTAGGTATTAACTAGACAAGGATAGCTCGCTTTTCCTTATGCGTGGGGGAAAATTTTTTGAGGTAGTCGATGGTGCGAAGCGTATTCGAGTTCAGTTTTTCTGTTCTGTTCGGCCGGAGCAAGCGACTGGGAAGCCACGGAGTCAACTCTTTTTCAAACTTGGAGATTCGAGAGAGCGACAAAACTACAACTTATCAATTGCCGTTGACTTCATCAGCAACGAGCAGTCTTTTGGAGGCACCGACACATACATCGTTTTTTCTTCGTCAAATCAAGGCCTTCGTCTCACCTCAACATCTGCGAGCGAGATTAGTAACACAGCGCAGGTATTTTGTAAATTTACTAAGAAGAGATAAAAGGTGTGTGTTTTGCGAGCGGCCAGGCAACTATATTATTATTCGAGGCCTTTCGAAAGGTAAAACAAATAAAGTCAATTTCGTTTCATGAGTTAAGAAAATTGTTCTTGGAGTTTATTTTGTTTTCCTTTCCTTTACTATCAACCATGGCAAAAACTGTGGCAGTTGCTCCGCGTATGATAGTCAATAATTCGATTGACTTAAAGCGTCAACACAAGGTATGAATAGTTTATTTCGTTGTTTTTCTGTCTTTTCGTACAATAATCGAAATCTGCATACGTGTGTTTGAAAAATAATTGTAGAAAACGTTGTTAATAATTGGAAAAATTATGAAAAATTCGTAAAAAATAATAACTATTACGTTGATATTTGCAATCGTACTGTGAATCACAATGTAATGTCAACATCTTATTTTTCGGGCAGTGAACTAAAAATCAAAAGTTTTTCAGGCTTATTCAATTGTTTTACAAGAGTTTATGATAAAAAAACTAATACTTTTTCTGATTTTGGTAATGAGATTAGTCAGATTAAATTAATTTTATCATTTTCTGAAAATCAAACATTTGACCATTATGATATTATCGGTAAATAAATTGAGAATATCAAAAAATTAATTTAAAAAAAGGTGAAGAAAAAATACACTCTAAAAAAAAATCCAAACGAAAATGCGAATGATAAATTACAAATAAAGAAATGTTTTTTAAATATCTATAATATCGGTATAAATCATAACATAATTAAGAATACAAGAAATGAAATGTATTTTTTTGGAGAAATGACAATAACATGCCCTCATTGTTTCGCTACGATTTGGAAAGAAGAACGATATAAATTTAATTGTTGTCAAAATGGAAAAATAATTTTACCACAATAAAATAAATATAATGGAACATTAAAACAGCTCTTACTACACGACTTTAATTTTAGACATTTGGTATGATATTACAACAACAGTTTTTGTTTCGCTATCTTTAACGCTAACGTTTTTAATGAAAGAAAAAAGGCTATATATCATTTAAAAATACGAGGACAAGTTTTTTACTTTACACCAATTACGCTAACATTTAATAATAAAGAAGCGAAGTGTAGGCAAATTTATATTTACGATAGTGATACTGCTATAGAAAAAAGATTGGACAAAAACTCGTATTTGATTGAAAAACATCTAAAAACTTTGACTGAAATTTTCAGCAAAAACACTTGTGCCAAAAATTACTAACATTTACATTATCTTTTTAACATAAACAAACTTCCGAATTATAAATTATACTTTATCAGAAAGACCAGTAAATGACAACACCGTTACAATAAACCAGTCCCTTTTGAATGTGGAGCAATTATCGTATCAAAATCCGGTATTCCAGTACCATTTGACCTATGTGTTTATCCGAATGGTTTACCTAATAATGTACCAACACACACATACCTAAACAAATTATTGCAACACGTTGATTCTATGGTATTTCCTAAATTGTTTTTATCAGGGGATTTAGGCTGGAGCATTGGTATAAACAAAAAACCTCATATTATTGATGGTAAAAGATGAACAAGTCTACAATATCATTTGTACGAATTATCTTACGATTAAATAATAACAATTTTAGTCCTTTATTATTCGCGGGAAGATTAACTCGACAATTTTTTTACAGTATGATAGAAAATAATCGCATGAATTTTTTTAGAAGTAATCGAAAGCAGTTACAAATAGAGTGTTACCAAGGATTATTAAATCATATTTATAACAATACATCAAATATTTAAAAAAAAATTTTGAAGATGAACGGAAAATAGAAAATCTTTTTATTTTACCAGCAACTTACGTTGTTGGTCCTCGATATATATGCAACAACATTTTCAAGATGCAATGGCTATAATGGCTGGGCAGATTATTTTATTCAAAATTACAATTAATTTTCAATGAAATCAATAAAAAAAATTCTTTGGTAACACCGTTGCATATATTGATTCAATAGAATTCCAAAAAAGAGGTTTGCCACATGCTCACATTATAGTAACGCTTCATTTAAAACAAATTGTATACCCCTGAAAACGTGTATCAATACAGTTCAGCTAAAATACTAAAAAAATACATGACGAAATTTAGGAAAAGTTGTGATTAAAGTTATGCTGCATGGTCCTTACACTGCGAAAAATCCTCGTTTAAAAAAAATTCAGATGTTTGTGAAAAAGGCTTTCTTTAACTTTTTAATGATAATGTTACATATACGGTTAATGGTTATCCACATTAAAAAAGATGAAATAATACTTCAGATTCAATTTTTTTCAAAATTAAAAATTGCAATACGAAAATTCCAGTTGACAATTCTATGGTAGTTCCATACAACATATATTTGTTTAAAAAATATTAATGTCACATAAATGTTGAATACTGTGCTTTCATTAACAGCATTAAATATATTTATGATTATATACGTAAAGGCAGCCATAAAGCATACGCAAAAATAAAAAAAATTGATTCAAATGATAATGATGAATATAATAAAATTTCTGATGAAATTACACAATTCGTTGACGATAAATATTTAAATCCAATGAAAGCAGCATGGCCAATACAAGAGTTTCCCCTTATGGGCAGGTTTCATACTGTAATACGATTAGCAGTTTACACTGAAAATCAACAAACTATAATTTTTGAAAAAAGCGATATTGACCAAGCAGTTTTAAACTGGAAACAACACTTACCGCTTAGTTTGATTTGAATGAGATAGATGAATTTGCAAAAACTATTAAGTACCTTAACATTCCACAATAGTACGTTTTTGATAATCAAACTAAATGATGGAAAAAACGTAAAAATAATTAAACAAGCGTTGCTATAGGAAGACTGAATATTGTATCTCTAAAACATCAAGAACGTTTTTTTTTTAAACTATTTTTGAATCGTGTTAAAGTTGCAACAATTTCAAAGATTTGCAGAAATTTAAAGGAATTCTGTGTAATAACTATAAAGATAGAGCGCGCGGTGGCTCGGTCGGCTAGGTCGTGGATTGGCATGCGGGAGACCGTAGTTCAATTCCCGGCCAGTGCGACATTGTCGGGCAAGTACCTCTGTGATTGTTCACATGTGCTTTTTCACCACGCAATGCTCCTCGAGGAGGGTTTAGGCGACCTTCTCGCAGCAAAAATTGCCTAATTCCCCCTACCCCCCTTCCTGTAATGGGGGGCCTTCCATCCCTTTCCTTGTCCCTTTCCCAAGTGCTAAGTGCCCATAGTAGTGCCCTTAATAAAGGAGCCGGACGTAGAGCACTATAATATAAAAAAAAAANTCTATGGTAGTTCCATACAACATATATTTCTATATTTGTTAAAAAAATATCAATATTACAAAAATGTTGAATACTGTGCTTTAATTAACAGCATAAAGTGTATTTATGATTTCATACATAAAGGCAGCGCTAAAGCAAACGTAAAAATGAAAAAAATTGATTTAAATAAAAATGATGAATGTAATGAAATTTTTTCTGAATTTACACAATTCGTTGACGGTAGATATTTAAATCCAATGAAAGCAGCATAGCGAATATAAAAGTTTCCACTTAAGGACAGGAGTCATACTGTAATACGATTAGCAGTTCACACTGAAAATTAACAAAAAATAATTTTTGGAAAAAACGATATTGACCAAGCAGTTTTAAACTGGAAAATAACACTTACTGCTTGGTTTGATTTGAATAAGATAGACGAATTTTCAAAAACTATTAAATAAGTTAACTTTCCACATTATCACAATTTAATAATCAAACTAAATCATGGAAAAAACGTAAAAATAATAAGACAAATGTTACTACAGGAAGACTGAATATTGTGTCTCCAAAAGATCAAGAACGTTTTTTTTAAAAACTAATTCTAAATCGTGTTAAAGGTGCAACATCGTTCGAAGATTTGCAAAATTTTAGAGGAATTCTGTATAATAACAATAAAGACACAGCAATTAACATGGGATTAATAGAACACGACATCCAAATTTTTAAAATTTTTGATAAAGCCTTACAGATGGTCCAGGAGGTTCTAGTAAAACGTTTCTGTATAAAACCATAATTTATTTCTGTACTTCTCAGACAAAAAAGATAATTTTTATGGCTTGGACTGAAATTGCTTCTATTTTGTTACCGAGAAGTATGACAAGTCACAGAAATTTTAGACTACTTTGAGATTAAAATAACATTGAAACAGCATATTTAGAACGTAAATCTGACAAATAAAATCTAGGGAAGTTGATATAACATGGGATTAAGCGTCAATAAGTCCGAAGAAAGCTTTAGAAATAGTAGATAAAACGTTATAAAATTTTTGTGATAATGATTTAAAAATTTCTTTTGTTTTTATTAGATATAGGAGAAGGTAAATTTGATTTGTTAACAATACCATATAAATGGAAAACGAAAGACATTTGCTGTGAAATTTTTAATATACAAAATATTATTTCCACAACCAAATTATTTTAATATCACATAACGAATACACTCAATTATTAAACAATAAAATACTAAACAGTATGGAAGGAACTGCCACGGAATACTACAGTACTGATTATGCGATAACAAAAGAAACAGATGAATCTGACGAAAACATAAAGTTAAATTTTCAAGTAGGAGTTTTAAATGCTATTTATAAAGGCTTACCACCTCACGAGCTTAAATTATAAAAGGAATCCAGTAGTAATGTTAATAAGAAAATTTAAGTTTAACAGACGGATTATGTAATGGAACTCGTCTACGCATGACAAAATTATTTAAGAATACTAAGCTGAAATCATTACAGGTGAAAACAAAGGACGAATGGCAAAATAAGACGTCTAATGACAGTTGATAAATAATTAAAAACAACGTCCAATGGTGGGACTGTCAAATTTCGTATGGCCGTTTGGACAATGTCCCGGCCATCATCAGGTACAAAAATCAATGAGTAATAAAATTCTTTACAATACAAATTTTGGTGAATATAATAAACGTAAATTAACTGACGTGTATAACATACTGCTGACTCCTACTAAAGGGAAGTAAAATCGTAACGTAGTCAGAGTTTCAAGTTTAGTTGCTTTTATACCTTGCACATACACAAATGACATAGTATACGCACGTAATACAATTAAATAAGTATCGCAATCAGTTCCTTGTGAGACGCACATGAACAGTTCATATTTTCCTAATACTATAAATGAAAGGAGCCCTCAAATCATGTACATAAAGTAGTCTCCTTTATTAATTGACTTAACAAGAGACTTACAACAATTTTCTAATTTCTCTGTATCTTGTTGTCTATTAATATTATTAGTGAAGTAATATATGTTTCACGATTTGGAAAAAGGCTCTTTTTGTAACTATGTTCTGTGTACAAATTTTTATTTTATCAAAATTAAAGTTATGTGTAAATTCAATGCTGTATTGTGATAGTACAGATGTATCCTTTTTTTCTTCATGTCTCTTTTGTGTTCTGCCATTCTTAATTTTACGGCTCTCGTTATTTGACCGACTTAGCAGCAGTTGCAATTTGCACATGGTATGTGGTAAACAACATTATATTCATCGAGTCGTTCAGTTACATCTTTTGCAAGTGAAAAGATTGATTTCAATTTATTGTTTAAACTGTATACAAGACCAATGTAAAGCTTCTATTTTGATAAACGTCTATTTCTACCTATAATCACTCTAAATACTGGAAATCATTCTTGTTTACCGTTTATTTTACATAGAAAACAGTTTCCATTGATTTTGGCTTTTTCTATGACAACAAATAAGTCATAGGGCCAAAGTTTCTATTATATAGGATTATATTTTAAAAAACCTTTATTTTCCCATGGCCAATTATTTTTAGCTTTATCCCGATGCACGAATCCGAAGAATATTTTCATTTAAAATAATTCTGAAGATAAATTGAAAATAAAAAATACTGTTTAACAGGAAATTTTTCAAATCTAACAATATATTCGTGATCAATTCTGACGTCGTCATCATACCTTCGTATCAAACATCAATGGATTAAAAATAGTATTATTGACATAAAAATATGTATTATCAAGCACATTATAGCTTTAAAATATTTAAAACTATTTTATTTTAAGAAATCAAGATTTTAAATGTAATTATTGAATTTAAAAATTTCAAGATTACTCTTTAGTAACCGAACATATGAAAATTCATACAAAAAAAAGTTATACATGTCACCATTGTGGAAAAATAATTAAACATAGAAAAACTTTACGAAACACTTGAACGAGCACACATTTGGAAGAATCTATTTATGTGATACCTATAACAACAGTTACAAAAGAGTTCATTACTTAAAAAGGCACCGCTTATCTCACGAAACAGTCATCAACAAAATATTTGTTGACAATGTGCAAGAAGATTTTTTAGAAAAGATGCTCTACAAAGACACTTGAACTTACACAAAATGAAATAAGTAATTAATTTAATGAGTGCATTAAACTGTTGTAAAATCTGAACATACATGTGAGGCGTTTCACACGAAATGTCCCAGGCCCGCTGCGCGAACGCTAAAAGTCACTGTTTTCAGCTGATTTTCTCGGCCTTATTCCTATCCTAAAAAAATGTTGCAAATAACATTTTCGATGTATTTTTCAGTCAGCTTTCTGATGGTGTGATTAGTTTTCCGAAAAATCTCATTTTCACTGAAAAAAAACATAAAATATGCTACACGTGCAATATGCGGCCGGCCTTTGACGTGCGTTCAGACGGCCGAACGTCTACTCTTTGGTACTNCTGTTTTCTGTCAACTTTGTTAAGTTCTAATATATTTGTTGGCAAGGTAGTTCGACGTCCGATGGCCCTAAAAAAGACCGGTGAGCTTCTTAAGTAAACTCTTTCTTGACTGCAGTTAACAGCAATTGTGACTGCCTGGATACCTCAGGGTGATCTTCTCTGGCCCGCTGTTGAAGTCTTAGACTGATCGGGAGAAAAATTACGAAGTCCGAAGCTTTGGGGCTAGTTGTAGTGCTCTTCCCCAACGTCTCCCGGTATAACGTCGAAGACGTTGGTGTCTAAAGCACCTTTTTTATTTGCAGATTCAGTTGTTTTGGTGATCTTAGATGGGGAGATTGGTTAGTGATACCTGTCCAGTGGAGGCTGTCCCGTTGGTTCAAGTTGTTTTTCCTTCATAGCTGTTATAGGTTTGCCCAGCGCAGATCTTGGAGAGGATCAGTGATTCCTGGTTGAATGCTTAGCGTCACGAGGGTAATATAGGGTCGTCGGTTACCGGGTTTTCCAGCCTTGCGAAGAACAAGTCCGCAAGTGACGTCTGCTAGTGAATGGTTGACTTGGTTTAATAGTGCCCGTCTTTATTTAATATAGTCTTTTAGTCGACAAATTGCTTCCGGAAATGGTAGTAAAAATGGATTTGTTGGCAAGGTAGTTTACACTTAGGTGGCCCCTAAAAAGAACCGATGAAATTGATGGTTAAGTAGGGAACGTAAATACTTATAATAGCCCTGAAAAGCGCCAGTGGTGAAACTTCCAGGCTATTCTTTATTATTATTCCTGATGATGAAGAGCTGGCTACGGGTAGCCTGATTCTTACCCTGGGAGTCTCTATGTACGGAGACTGTGATGGAGGGAGGTACGCCGCTGACCAAAGAATATCTCGTCTTCGGGTCGTTCCCCGGATAACCAACCGCTCATCGTTAGACGGGAACGTGTGGGTAAGCGTGTTGGGGAAGCGACGACTAAGAAGGTAACCGTTTTGGCTGCCCCTGCCCCGCAGAGCTGTTTTCCCTGGCTTACATTTGTAGCCAAAAATTCTCTGACTGCACCAGGCGGGATGGTGGGACTGCCACACAACTCTGAAGAGTTGGTGCAGATTGTGCTCTGGCTAGATATGTCGCCGGTTGGGATGAATTTTTTATTGATCCCACTCGTCGAGATTCAGGGTGAATGGAAACCTAGGTCCCTTCCTCCTTACAGAAGAAGCACGACTGCATTTCTATCGAGACGCTCCGGCGTATTATAACCACACTTATTTAATTCTGTTGCAGGTAGCCTCGATTTTATATCGACGGCACCTAGCGGATTTTACTGAACTAAAGTGAAAAGCTGGCGTATTTTTGCAAAACTTTGAGCTCATTTATTGTTATTGTTATTAAATTTTTTAAGATAAAAACTATACTAAAACCATCTAGGAAGTATCATGAATCAGTGTGTAAAAGTTCAGCAAAATCGGTTCAGTAGTTTTCGCGGTTAGCGATTACAACGGTTTTAGCGACTTTGCTTTATATATTAGTAAGATAAGATAAAGCACACTATAGCTTTAAAATATTTAAAATCATTTTACTTTCAGAAATCAAGATTTGAAATGTAATTTTTGCATTTCCAGATTTAAAGATTACTCTTTAGTAACCGAACATATGAAAATTCATACAAAAAAAAGTTATGCGTGTCAACATTGCGGAAAAATAATGAAACATAGAAAAAATTTTACGAAACACTTGAACGAGCACAAATTTAGAAAAATCTATTCATGTGACACCGGTAACAACAGTTACAAAAGTGTTCATCATCTACAAAGGCACCGCTTAACGCACGAAACAGTCATCAACAAAAATATTTGTTGACTATGTGGAAGAGGATTTTGAAGAAAAGATGTTCTACAAAGACATTAGAACTTACACAAAATTAAATAAGTTATCAATTAAATGAATACATTGAACTCTTTTGAAATCTCAACATATATGTATTATTTAAAATCTTATTAATTTATATACTGTTTTATTTTCAGATAACATTGTCTCAATTTTGAAATCATTTTAAAATATAAGGAAATTTATAACGCGTTACAAAAGTTTTGTTGTTCAAAGTGGAATATATAAAAGGTTAAGAAGAGGTAGAGAAGGGATTAGGCAAGAGAAAAGGGTGGGCCAGCTTGGGGAAGTTTTTAACAGTCATATTAAGGTTAAAAATAAAAGAAAAATAACGCAAATTGTGGGGCAGCATGGGAAAGAGTAGGGAAGGGTGGGGCAGGGCGGGGAAGCAAATCTTAGAGAATAGTGAAAACAACTACACAATATAGGAAGGTGTGTGTGTGTGTGTGTGTGTGGAGAATCACGTAAACTGCCCCAGCGCGACTGCAGACGGCCTGCGCGAGCGTAGTATATATAACGCTCGGACCCCGTCTAATAGCTCGTCTTATAGTACCCTCTTCCTCCTGGCGCAATATCGTACTATCCCCACCACTACCCTAGGGAAGCAGCTGGGGGGCGCAGACCTGCTCTAGCTTATCTACTTAGTTTTACTAGGTGGGGCTTAATGATTGGGCTATTTATCTAAGAAAATGTAAAAATGAGGTTAAATGAGAATTAAAATAATAGTTTAAGATGTGGCTGCATTTTTGTCGTTAATTATTCTTAAAAAATGTAAAAATCAATGTGTTCAAACAAATACGACGGGTAAGCGCAGGAATCGTGCAAGCACTATAGTTGAGGAAGTAGTTGATGAAATAACGAGACGACGAAATATCTCGAAATATCAAACATACGTTACTTAAACAATTTATAATCTACGGTTAAAATTTCAGAAGGCTCAACAGTGCCAAAATGAAAAAATAAGGCTTCAAAGTTGCACTACGTAACATGGCGAGCAGAAGCAAAATGGGTAAAAAACGAAAATTTTATTTGATTAGAAAATGATCATACAGTTAATATTTTATCAAAAACTAATATTCTATTTTGTATGGCTATAGAAATATTATATTAAAAAATGGGAAAAAATTCCAACAAATATACTAAATCGTTATTATTGTAAAATACATCAATATCGGGGGTTTATAATCAATGACTATCTTACAGAAAAAACTTGGAAAATAAGATTAATTTTAACAGCCCTTTTTTATAATATTATTTTTACCCACTAATACCAAATACCACACCAAAGATACATATAAATGCAACTCTTTTTACATATGGTCATTTGTTTTGAGTTTTGGAGCACAAGGTCTTGGTTAATAAAATTAAATGTAATAAATTATAAAAATTATCAAGTGTAATAAATTATTCAATTAGTAAATAAATTAAAAACACTTCTTTAAAACAAAAAATTTTAAATCGTCAATTAAAATTATGAAAACAAAATGGAAAAAGACATCATACTTGCACTTATAAAATTGTACGGATATTTTGTTTGATGTTAAATTACATTTCTCCATGCTACACTCTTATTAAGGGTTATTGGATATAAGAATAAGATTATTGTAATCCAGGGAAGCAGCGATGGCCCCTTACCGCCCCCACCCTGGATCCACACCCAACTAGCAGCTATTCAGTCAACTGTACCTCATTGAATATTAGATCGAGGATTATAGAAAGAAATTAAATACTGTTTCAGTGAGGTCAAATAATGATGAACAGAGATCAATTATTCAAGTTTCAACAAATTTTGACTGTGGCAGCACAGAAATCATTATCATGTTGAAAAATTTAATTTAAAAATTAATTTTACATCATAAACCTAATGGTTTTTCTAGTAAGTAAGTGAAAGACTTATGAACACAACTTACTATACAGGAACTTATATTAGGAATAAAATGAACGAGTAGAGAAAAGCCACAAAATTTAAATATTCATTTGATCTTATTGTAGTTACTACTACGACATATATTTGATTATAATTTTGATTGAATATTTTTTTATAATATGGTAGGCTTCTTGACAAGGAAGTATTTTCTTAGATTATAATGTTCAGCCACAAACAAAATTAAGACTTAAGACATAATTTAGCAGCAAGCAGTATTTAAAATTTCTTTCATACGATTTATAGTAGAAATAAGATTAAAAACATAAGAAATTAATTTTTGGCACTCAAAAATTTTCAGCCACACTAAGCAACTTCAAGCTAATACACGATTTCGAGTATGTGCAAAAATAAATTGACTACATTAACTTACCATTATCAAGTTGACTAAAAGTTGCTTCGGATGAGTCTTAAACTAAGCTTACAATTGTAATGGTATTTAATTAGTAAACATGTACTGCATTTCTCTATGTTGTTATTTTTATTAACTAAAACAAAAGCGTTTTCAATTGTTCTAGATGATTTGGGGTACTTTAGTCCATCTGTTGAATAAAAATGCCATGGTTTGTGTACATTAACGAGTAAATGATTCTGAAATTAATAAGTTAGCTTAGTACTACTTCTAGATTTATTTTTCTGTGCATTGTTGAATACTTTAGAGTTCTAAATTTTCCTGATTTTCGTACTACGTGTTACAGAGTGCAATGAGTTTGTTCTCTACACGGTAGTAGGATGAGACTACTGAAAATTAGTGTGTGAAGGTAAACAAAATTTTGTTAAAATGCCTATGCCTGTTGTGATTTGAGATGTTTATGTACCGGTAACATAAATTGAAGTTAGCGTATATCAAGCTGTGAATATCAAGAGCAACTTTAATTTATTTGTAACTAAAGATTTGCTCGACATATTTTTCAAAATTACGTGCTTTTTCTGCCGTAGTATTAAATAAGCGGACGGCGCTCACATTAAGTTTAATAATTGTAGAAATTACTATTTACCTTTTGATGGCTCGTGTGACTCGTGTCTCTTCTTGGTCAATTCTGGGTGTAATCCGCAATCGCCGCCAGCAGTAACATATGTAAGACGTGACAACGTTGCGTGGTTGGGAGCGCTACTGTCGATTTCCTGGTGATGTGATCCGCAATCCCGCCAGCAGTAAAGCAGACAACGTCGGTCTACTTGCTCTTTTTCGTGACATTTTTGCTGTGATCCCGCGCGATCCCGCCAGCAGTAAATCTGTTATTTCCATTTTTCTTTTTGGCACTTGAAACTATTTTTTTTGGTCTGCGTGTTTGTTTACGTCTAGCACAACATGCTTTGTTTACAATCAGAAAATGTCACGAAAAAGAGCAAGTAGACTGACGTCGTTTGTTTTACTGCTGGCGGGATTGCGGATCACATCACCAGTAAATCGACAGTAGCGCCCCCAACCACGCAACGTTGTCACGTCTTACATATGTAACTGCTGGCGGCGATTGCGGATTACACCCCCTGTTGAGCCATTTGTTCCGTGTAAGACGTGAGCATTAGGATCATCGGCCCCATAGCAGTATTAGGCCGCAGTCACATATAGCGCAATAGAGCGAGCAGGATAGGAATTTCTCCGCAAGCGGCTGTGTTAAGCCTATTGCACTGCGCAATAGGGCTATCCTGCAGCGCAATAGACTTAACATAGCCGCTTATGGAGAAGTTCCTATCCTGCTCGCTCTATATTGCGCTCCATGTGACTGCGGCCTAAGCGGCTGTGTTAAGTTTACTGCGTTGCAGGATAGCCCTATTGCGCGGCGCAATTGACTTAACACAGCCGCTTATGGAGAAATTCCTATCCTGCTCGCTCTATTGCGCTCTATGTGACTGCAGCATTAAACCAATAGCCGAGGCCGAAGGGTGGTTAAAATTTTAACCAGCCGCCACTTTCACCAGAATTGAGGACTCCCATGACTCATAGAGGTCTGACATACTTTTGTCATGTTTAATTCTAGTGAAGAATTATGTGGTAATTAGATAAGTGCTATGCAATCTTTTTTATTAACCAGCCGCAACTCACACCAATGCATGGGAGAATAAGTTGTCAACTGACAAAGCTATTTGCAGCAAGATTAGAATGCATCTTGTACCCGAAAATCGACCTTCAAACAAATAGATTCCTTACCCGATCTTATTTATAAAACTCTTCTAAGATAAAATATAAGGCATTATAGATAACATTGCAAAAAAAAAACAATTTCTCGATTTTTGGGTACAAGATGCATTTTAATTATGCCACAAATGGCGTTGTCAGTTGATAACTTTACATTTTCAATCCATTGGTGTAAGTGACGGCTGGTTAATAGAAAATACTATACGGTACTACTATAATTACCACATAACTCTTTATCAGAATCAAATATGACCGAAATATTTCGGATCTCCAGGAATCATGTCTTAAGACTGTAAGCCAAACCTATGGCAGGTGATTCAATTCAAACTGACGTTAACTGAATATTGATATAAATTGTTTTAAACAAGTTAATAGGTGTCCTGTTTACAACAAAACTGTGTTACGAGATTACATTATGATAGTGGAAAGATATTTAGCCATAAAAACTAAAAAAAAATTTGCTAACCCTGAGTAGTTAAAAAGAGAGGTTGTGTTGACAAAACTGTTGTATTAACATGAATTCTAGAACCTTTCATCTGATTCCTTAAAAACGTTCTAACCTTATAATGTAATCACATTACATAGTTTTATTATAAATAAGTGTCTATTTCCTTGTTTAAAACAAAATATATCGGTTTTCAGTTAAGATCAGTTTGAATTAAATCACCCGCCATAGGTCTACACGGAGAGGGAATCCACGCGTTGAACGCATGGAGGTTAGCTGGCTTTTAGCGCATGCGGCTTCCCTTGCGTTAAAAGCACGAAGTTGTAGCACTGAAAGCCTGGAGTATACCTGAGCGGTAAACGCAAGGAGCGTGATGGGTTTGACGCTCGGAATCTGTTGCGTTTGATTGGTGCTCAGCTGACGGTTATGTATATATATACCAGCTGAGCACCAATCAAACGCAACAGATTCCGAGCGTCAAACCCATCACGCTCCTTGCGTTTACCGCTCAGGCATACTCCTGGCTTTCAGTGCTACAACTTCGTGCTTTCAACGTGGTGGTCATAGAGCAGGGATGTTCATTAGACATGGTCTGCATGCATCATGTCTATACATACCTACCGGTAGGTCTGCGCAGCTGTCATGACAATTAAAGTTTTTGAAGCACAAAACAAGTGTTAAAAGTTAATAAATAAAATTCAAAAGTGCATCAGTTTTTGAATTATCGTGTTGTGTTAGCAGGTGGGTCGATATTTTATACTTGTGTTTTTGTATGTAAAGTTATTTTAAGCTCGTACGAGCTCGTTTCTATAGCTTTAGTTTTGACACATGATGACAAACTGCACATTTTTATATTTGATTAAACAAAATTTATTAGTCAGTATCTGAGCTCGGTAATTGGGGATTGTTTCAACAAATATTATTCTATTTTCTAAATACACAATTATAAAAATGGAACAGTAAGGAGGATACATGTGCGGTATGCATATGGATAATCTACATAGAAAATCCACATGGTTAATCCATACAGAAAATCCATTTAAAAAATCTATGTGGTTAATCCATGTAGAAAATCCATGAAAAAATTTATATGGATAATACATGTGTGCATCAACTTACGAAGTCGTAAGAAGTCGTAATAAATTTTTTTATAAGGACGAGCATGCATCCTAATATTGTGGCAGTTGACACTATAGAACGGGAGAGTAAAAATAAAATATGAGATGGAAAAAGGAAGAAATGGTGTATTATCTGAGTCCTGACTAGATATCTACACAGAAACACTCAGTGTTGAGTGGAGAGGAATCCTGCAGTGAAAATTACGGTCGGTAAGATGAAAGTTGCTGTCACTAACATAACAATCTATAGAGTGTTAAAGAAGCGAAGAGGCAGGAGAAGGAGGTGGCATTCCAGAAGTTCTCATCAGTGCTCCCAAATGTGACTGGCAAACATGTGGAATATAACACAAGCACCATATCACCGCACAACCCAGGGCGCTTATTTACTGGTCGATTACTCAATTTATAACAAATAAAATAATAAGGCAAACGCCAATCCCCAGGCAACTCGAGGTGCTTACTGGTCGCTTTAATTATTTAAAATAAATGAAATAAAAATATGAGTGCCAATCCCCACACAACTCAGGGCGCTTACTGGTTACTTACTTAAATTACAATAAAAAAAATAATAACGTAAGCGCCAATCTCCAGGCAACTCAGGGATTTACTAGTCGCTTACTTAATTTACAATAGTCAAATAATCCGGCAAGCGACAATCTCCATACAACTCGGGGGACGCTTATACTGGTCGCTGTGATAGTTAAAAAATTTATTAAGTAAAAACGCGAGTGCTCATCTCCTGACTATCCAGGGCACTTACTGCTCACTACTAGTTGCGCTTAATTTGCGCTTGAATTGTTATGGAATGCTTTTTAATAATAAAAAATGCTACCAGTAGGTATCACGAGTTTCCTGGTGATGATCGCTTGCCTTTTATTATTGTATTTATTGTATAATAAGTAAGCAACCAGTTAGCGCCCCAAGTTGTGGGGGGATTGGCGCTTGACTTATTATTTTATTTATTGTAAAATAAGTAAGTGACTAGTAAACGCTCCGGGTTGTGTGTAGATTAGTGCGTGTCTTGGTATTTCATTTATTTTAAATTAAGTAAGCGGCCAGTAAGGGCCTTCAGTTGCATGGGGATTGTTGCTTTCCTTATTATTTTTTTTGTTATAAATAATTAAAATGACCAGTAAGCACCCTGAGTTGCCTGTTGACTGTCGCTTGCCTTATAATTTCATCTATTGTAAATCAAGTAAGCGACCAGCAAGCGCTCCGAGTGGCCTGGTGATTGTCGCTTGCCTTATTATTTTATGTACTGTTAAATAAGTTATCGACCAGTAAGCGCCCCGGGTTGCGTGGGGTTTGGCGCTTTTTTATTATTAAGTGCCCTGGGTTGCCTGGTGATTGGCACTTGCCTCATCATTTTAAATGTTTTAAATTAAGTAAGCGACCAGTAAGCACCCCAAATTGTGAGGAGATCGGAGCTTGATTTATTATTTTATTTATTGTCAAATAAGTAAGCGATCAGTTGGCACCCTATGTTGTTTAAGGATTGGCGCTTGACTTATCATTTTATTTATTGTAAAACAAGTAAGCGACTAGTAAGCGCCCAAAAGTGTGTGGGGATCGGCGCTTGATCTATTATTTTATCTATTGTAAAATAAGTAAGTGGCTAGAAAGTGGCCTGGATTTTGTGATGATTGGCGCTTGTGTTGTTTCTTACATGCGTGCCAGTCACACTTGGGAGAATTGATGAGAACCTCTGGAATGCCCTCTTCTTTTTTGCCTTTTTGCTTCTCTAACACTTTATAGATTGGTATGTTAGTGATAGTAACTTTCATGTTTGCTGACAGTAGTATTTACTGCGGGAACCCTCCTTCCCTAACACTGCAAACACCGAATCTTTTTCCTGCACACCTCCCATTCACATTGCCAAAAAAAAAAACTGCTGTGCAATCAAAAAGTTTCTAAAGATGGCAATCAATGCACCTTCAAACAGTAACTTATTGAAGTACTAACCACACTTGATGTTGCCTAACTTTGCTGATCGATAAAATTATAACACTGCCGCAAAACATTGCTGTGACAGTAGATAAGATACGTTAGTTAAATAATAGATTGATACATTTAAGATACACATTGAAAATT